CATTGTGAGTTAGTGAATCCTCGTGAACTTATTATATTTTATGAACAAAATGTATGTTTTTTTCTGTTTTTCTTGATAAATTTGGGGCAAAAAAAGTCATATGTTATATTGTATTTAATTCCCATACATACTGCTCAGTGTAATTGCGGTCGAAGGCTCTTCTGCCAACGTCTAGCACACTGTATTGTCTCTTCCTCTCCTCAGGCAGTCAGTAGGTGTAGCAGGTGGGGCACGTTTGACCTTCACTCTCACTCTTTATCTCCGGATCCCTGGATTAGTGTGTCGTCCTATTAGTCCGATAGCTTATGTGTACAAAGTTAGTTTGAGCTTGTAAATATTTAAACGCTTTGATCTTCTCCCTTTGTAAATATTTCAATACTTTAAAAATATAATGTCCCTGTAGTGACTTTGAGAGTATTTGGCTGAATAATAATAATGTTCAAAGTATGGGGAGGTCAGAAATAAACAAGAAACAGTAACTGACCTGAGTGAGTCAATGAAGTGATGTGAGTTAATAAACTAAATATTTATTGTGTAGAAAGGAAAAGAAACTTTAAATTGGTGGTTAATTCTGGGATGTTCCTTTCAAAACCATTTCGTTATTTCAATAAAAATGAATCAGGACTAAACCAGCAGAAAGTAATCAAGCTAAACAGGTCACTAGTAAGTAATATGGTTTCCTCTTCATAATGTATCTGTTACATTGTCTCTAATACACAGAGTGTGGTGATTGATGATGTGTCTGCTGCGAGAGTACAAAAGCTGCTGCTGATTGTCACTCTAGTGTCCAACTTCCCGCTCATTATCGTGGGACTGGGTACCATTATGCTCATAGTCTTCATCATCCTTCTGGCCAAGGCCCGCAAACAGAAGGTATGACCCCCCTTCTTACCTGATTTTCATTATTATAACATTACCATTTGCATGCTTTGTCCCAGTAAGTAATTGGTTTTAATTGTTTGCATAATTAATTCAATTGCTTAACCACACACTAATGGCACTGTGCATGTATTTATCACTGTGTGTCTCTGTGCAGAATGAAGTTAAACGCATTGTGTTTACCAAGCCTCTTTATGCTGTAAGTCAATATGGTTACTTTGCATGTTTTATTTTATTTATTTTTATTGTCTTCACTTTATCCAAGCTGTCTTACTATATTGAATCTTTATTGCCCATGTGCATCTTTAATCTTATTTTTCAATATGCATTTTGATGACTTTCACACACAGTAAACTTATTGTCTGGTTTTAACACATTAACATTATGGAGCAACACCAAATCTCAATTTAAGAACTGTTAAAAACATCACTAGCAAAAGAAGATCTGTTGATTACAGTTATACCTGTACAAAGCAAGATGAGTTGAGTTTTTAATATTGTTTTTCATATCATCAATCTTCCACTACAGACCTCCACTGAAGACGACACTTCTTACTCTCCAGTCAGCGACAAGGAAAAGGAAGATCCTCAAAATGGCACCTTTATTGGTTTGACACCTAAACCTGAAACACAAGCTTGAGGAGGGAGGGAGTGTTTGGATGGGGGCTTTGTACATCAACAGCGCTCAGAATTATAAATAGGGATATGGGTTTTCAGGAGAGACAAAAATCCACCATTGAAAATTGTCAATATTGCCATTATAATTGGAAATCTCAGGGGAAGAATGGGTGTAGAGGAGGAAGAACATGTTTTTAGTCTCAAACATACGTACTTAATTTTAGCCATGGAGAGCTACCTAAAGTCAACGTCTAGCACACTGTATTGTCAGAAAAGAAAAGGATATTGATTAGAAAGCACTGTGTGTCAAAGGCGACATTTTTGCTGTTTGGTTAAAGCAGTGTAAAAATGACTGAAAACAAACTGCAGTTCTCTAATAAGTAGAGATGTAGAGCACACTTTGTAGTGGTCCAAAACAAACTAAACACACCCTTTAAACCTGTGATGTGGGATACATTTTAGTGCTGTGGCCTCGCCTCATTCTCTGTTTGCCTAGATTAGGTCTTGTCTTTAGATTTTAGCGATTGAGTATTATGTAACAGGGCATAGAGGAGGATGATGGGACCAGGGTAATGAAGTCCACAAACTGTGAGTTTTTTAGGTATCATACGTCACTCTCAGGGGGGCTTTCTGCTTAGATACTATCAAACATTGTTAAAGCAGGAGAGAGGCGCAAAATATACAGAAAGTCTTCATTTTGTCAGACATTTCAAACATTTCAGTATTTTTTGATCCTTAACTAATGTTACAGAACATTTGTATTCTTTTCAATCTGTGCACTGTATTTAGAGGGTTCCCTTCGCACATCATTATCGCCGTACCAGAAAAACCTTCCGAGTATGGCATATTTTTGTATATATACAGTGTAAGATGTGTTGAACTGCGTACATTCCTCTCAGTGTATGATGGGAATGAATATCAAGACAAAACACTGAATGTTTCGGATACTTTCATTTTGTAACATAAGAAGTCCTCCTCGTTTTTTGTAAATGTTAATGTAGACGTGTTTGAATGATTAAGATTTTAAGCTAGAGCTTTATAAGGAGTGACACTTTCATCGGCCGTCTAAAGCCCTGAACATGACAGGGTTTTATGGCTGAAACGATGATTCATGCTGAAAGTATTTTTGCCCTGTATAACTGCTTGTACCATCTATTATGGTCATATCAAAATGTAATTAATCTTATCATCATTTGAAAATCTGCTTTTGTGAAGCTGTTGTTGAAGGCCTTAGCATTGTTAGTGTTGAGTATGACAACCAACAAACCTTATGTCAGATATTATGTCAGGTGTCCAGCCATTGCAAGTCAAAACTCATGGGTTCAGTACGAAGAAACAATGTAGCTATGCCTTTTTAAAGAATCAATGTTACTGGGTTTGTTTAGCCTTTTATAGTTTTCACATATTTTGTGAAAAGAAAATATGTCGTACCAACAAACCTACTCTCAAGTTCATATCGTTTTCTTCCAGATACCAAACAAAGCCGAGCGTGAAACTGTTATTATAGTTCCTTTGTAGCCGGCAGAGTCAAACTGCACTTTGAAAATGCTCTGCTTGAATGATAGATTGTTGTACAGGGCTACAGCTTTCTCACTCAAGTCCAGTGAAAGTATTTAGATTGATTTCAGGTGCCATTTATTTGTATTGTAAAGAATGCTGCAGAATTACTTCATTTGAACTGTGATGAGCTCAGCTTTTATTACTGCTCTTTTTTTTTGGTTGTAACATTTAAACGATGAATGAGTTCCTTCGTACCACCTTGTCATTACATGCACTCTAATAATCAGCAATAACTATATCAGACAATAGTGGAGAAGCTGTAACATGTTTCATTTAGAGATTTTTGATTTTACTATTTGTGTTCGATGTATATTGTACAATAAGAAATCCGAATGAAAATAGAAGACGTTATGAAGAGTTCATAATGTAGTTTCATCAGAAATTGAGATGGGATGGTGAATGAATGAATAGTTGTTAATTAAAAAAACACAGTATTAAACAATATTAGTGTAGTGGTTCAAGGTTATAAATTATTTTGTTACAATGGTAAAACCAAAACACAGAAAGCACCATATATGAAGTGTACACTGAGTTACTTTGTGCCATACTTTGATTACAGATCGTACTTTCTGAAGTTATTGTTACTGCTATAGCCACATATTCTTCATAATTGTCAGCTTGTTTTGAAATGTTGACCATTAATACTGTTTTTACTGTGTACGCAAAAATAAAAGTAGTTTCAGTAAACATGTCTCATCATTTTTTTCAGTTTGGTTCTCATTTTAGGGAAGTAGAAATTAGAAATCCTTATACTTGCTTGCCAGATTAGACAATGTACTGCTAAAACGAAAGAAAGTTTATAATTTAAGTTATTTATCACGTGAGTTTTACTTTTTTAAATTGGAATTTGAATGAAAATATGAAACATCTGAGTAAAGGAAAAACAGACTCCACATCAGCAGGCATGCTGTGATGCCACAGAAGAATTAATGTATTATATATTGATAATATAAGTTTCCAGTGTTGCCGTTCGCCTACATCATCTTTCCATACAAGTCTAAATCATTGGCTCTGTGTGGTCGGGTTCTGTTGTAATGTTAGTCTCTTTGTTTTGTTTTTAGGAGAAATCCTGCTGGTATTTGTCGGATCAGAGAGATTGAAAAGGTGGCAGAATGCTACATATAATAATAATTATTACTATTTGCACATTAGATCCTCTGTTTCAGACACAGTTGAGGACTTTTCATTTTAAAACACATTTTTCACATTTCCTACTGTAATATTTAATTTTATATACACAGTTTTTGACTTCTCTCCTTTTGTTTTTCTTGCTTAGGCCTACTATGCTTATTGTTATGCATTAAAATACCATAGCAAATTCCTGGCATTAAAATTAAAAAACACAAAGTAACTTTTTACAATATGTTTGACATCTAAGATAATTTTAATTTAATTATTTTAAAGCTTTAAAACTTTATTGTTTACAGTGTATATATTTAATGTATTCTAGATTTCTATTATATTTTATTTTATTATATTTGCTTACTTCTAACTTCTACAGGGGATCAACAAATGAACCTCTTATCTTATCTTTCGTATATATGTATATACATATATACGTGTGTGTGTGTGTCTATATTGTTTAGCTTGTTGTGCTGTGTATTTATTTATTTATACTTAATTCTGTGTATTTACATTAAGAACAACGTAAAACCTGAGTCAAATTCCTTGTATATGTACACACACCAGGCCAATAAAAATAATTTTGGGGATCTATTATTTCTCTCATGTTGCACTGAAAACTCATAAATGAAAGTTTAGACTTAGAGGCCTCTTTCATTAATAAATACATCACCAAAAACATACTGCTATTTTGGCAGTCACCCTCACATGACCCACCGTGGTACTCTGTCTATGAGATGCTGACAGTATATTGTCTGACTCCAGGGGGCGGTAGTGCGCCGCTATGTTGGATGAGAACCGCTTCAGCCTCAAGAAGAAGACGAACTGCATTTGATGACAGTCAACATGGCGTTCAGTTTTGGCGGCGCGGCGAGTAACGCAGCAGCAAGTAAGGACATTTTAATTCAATTTGGGAGTGTTTATTAACAAAATAACGTTATTTTGGCGTGTATATGACATTAGTACAGACTTATAAAGGGTCAACTGATCACACCAAGCGTCTGTACCGTCAGCAGGCACGGTGGGGATCATCTACCGGCTAACAGCTAACTTCATGTGAAAATGCTTCCATGTGAGCTTGCTGTTTATCCAAATATGTTTGTGGTTACAACTCGTTTTGATGCTCAAGTATTTCCTAGATCATTATCGCACTCACTGCCTCAACCTTGGCTGTTTTTTTGGGGGGGGCTAATGAATAACGTTACTCTTATCAATTACTCTTTATCTTCCGCCATTGTAGCTTTATAACGTTACTGTAACGACACCCAACACTCATGGCACTCTCTATGTTCTTGTGAAGACACGTCCGGGTTTTCATTCGGTTCATTTGGTCCCAAAACCACTGCATCCACAGCATTTGGCTTTGGCCCCGCAGCCACTACCACCACCGCCTCATCCGGATTCGGCAGTAAGTCCAGAGTGCTGATCCCCCCCCCCCCCCACACACACACACCTCTCTCCTCCTCCTCCTCCTCCTCCTCCTCCTCTCCCACCACTGTAGGGGACACCTCCTCCCCTCCTGACCCGCAGCAATCACAGCTGCTCGGCTGTGTTTGTTGGTCAGAGTCCCTGGAGAGATGCACCACTGGTACCTCTGGTTAGCCCCGTTTGGACCTGTGCAGTCCACCTGTGTGGGAGCAGCATGTTTTGGTTTCAGGCAGTGGTGTAGTGGTACCTGGAGAAGTGGGGGAAACTCTTAATTTAGGTCCTAAATTGTGTTCAGCTTAAAGATAAACGCCCTGTGATATAAACAGTGTTTAAGTAAGACGACTCTTGCATATTTAACTCTCCCAAAAACTGGCCAGTGGTATTTACGTGTTGTCACCTATCTTCTGCTGCTTGACTTCAGGCAGTAAGGACCATAATGAAATCAATACTCGCCCACAGACTAAAGGGTGAGACTACTACATACAGTAATTTTGAGTGAAGTAGAATTGGGTCAACTATGTCATACCTTCGCCATCCTATAGGAAAATCATCTAGCAGAACGCTACTGAATGATAAGCATTAGAGAAGTGGGTATACCCAGTACCCACTGAACTACACCTGCTGCATATACTCTGCACTGCACCACTGGTTTCACATTAGAGGAGGGTTAAGTCGTGGTTCATCTCCTCTAAAGAGCATCAGACAGCTGCTTCCCTGAGCTTTTCTATTGGAAGCATCCAGGAATGTCTTCCACACACTGGAAGAAACACTTACAAACGGGACTGAACTCTTGTGTCTAAGTGTCTTTTTTTTCTCCCCATGAGGTTTCCCCAGTTAGGCACCGCAGCAATAACCGGTTGGAGTTAGGGATAAGTTTAGGCAAAGGTTGGAATAAACAGAAATACAAACTGATAGGAAAACAAGACAGTGAAATACTTTACTAATACAGGATTTAAAGCAGTAATTATGTAGGGCTAGTAATGTTTTTACAGTTATTTTGCATCATTAGGAATGCTTTTGTTAGTCTCACATAATTTACTGCATTGGTGTAGCAATAGAATAAATGATTAATCACCTTTTGAAAAGTACGTTAAGGTGGGCATGACTGCAAAGCTTAATCAATAATACATTTTGTACTATGATAAATGCATATTAGCAAATGTGTGGCAAATGTTAGCTTTCATTCTGCTGTGGTTTGTGCTTTGTCTGTGCAACCTTGAGTAGATCCACTTGTTGGCTTTGTGGGCTCCACAAGGTGTTAATTAAAAATAAAAAAATGAGTGAATATATTTTTAGAAAGATTAGTTACCATAGGTTTTTTAAACTGTATGTAAACTGTATCCATGTTTGAAAGTAGTGTTTTGGTGACTCTCTAAGAAAAAAGTCATGCATATCATTTGTGTTGACTGTTTTTATCCTTGTTGTTTGATACGAATCTAATTGTGTGCCAGTTTAACTGAGCACAAAACACCTATTTTGTGTCTGCTTTTTCTTTTGTAGCTCTTACAGCTCCTGGCTTCGGGGCAGCCACTACCACTGCTGCTGCACCAGCCACAGGATTCAGTTTTGGCTCCACCAACACTGGTAAGATACACATGTTACATACAAAGCGTGTACATTTGTATTGGTTTTTTAAGTCATGTCTCTTTTAAGGTACTTGCAAACTGTCCATACTAGACCTGACCTTTTGTCATTTAACTCCTCCATGTCGTTCTCTCTTTCTCGCTGCCTGCCTCTGCTGGCTGCAGGATTTGGGGGGCTGGGAGCTGGAAACACCACGGCTGGTGGGTTTAGTTTTGGGGGGTTTGGTTTAAATGCCAACCCAGCGGCAGTCAGCTTTAATGTGGGGTGCTTTGGTACAGCAACCACCACTGGCACTGTTTTCAATTTTGGTAATAGCCTGGCTAGCACAGGTAGATGACCTTTGTGATTGATAAATCAGTACAGTCTGTGTCTGTTAAACACATATTTTCATCCATTTTCACATCTATGTGGTGCAGTGATTTTTCATCTCACATTTTGCTTTGTCTCATGAAATGTAATGCATTGTTCCATTTGCATGAAGGGACATAAGGTTTAATCGTGCACTCATCTCATGTGATTTCTGTAGAAGCCCAGTACATTTTCACCTTCTTTGTAAGACAGAAGAAAAATGCTAGATGGAAATAAAATTCAGTTGTCCTTTAAGCACAGTCATGATTTATTCCCTTTCATTATTGTCAAATAGTCAACAATTTCATTTATTTTTATGTATCTAGCTCTGACCTCTTTGTGTGTCACCTTCTTTTTGTAATTTATCATGATTTGTTTTGTTTCTCAGGTACATTTGGTGGCTTTGGGACGACTACAACAACTGCTGCTGCGCCAGGGTCCACTTTTAGCTTTGCTGGTCCCGCAAATACCACAGGTCAGCAATGTGGCATAAAATAACTTTCCTTTCTCCTTGTCATGTTATGTATGTATGCTGGACATAAAATACACACGCACACAGCATTTTGATTTTAAAAGGAGGGCATCCAGCAGTTTTTCCCAAACTGAGGCGACAGCTGTTAAAGGAAGATTTAATCAGCTGTACTTCCATTATAAAAATGTGTCATGATACAAAGGTTGAAGATTAGAAGGATTGATTTGACATTACAATAATATCCATGTTTTCTAAATCTTACTCCTAAAACTATGCTGCGTACTCCTGCACACTCAGCTTTGTGTTGAAATGCCAATAAATAGCTGCCACAAGATGTCTCACTCACTCTACTCTGTACATAAGTCCTTCCCGTCACTCCTGCAGTGATTCCTCTGCAAAGCCGGCAGCATACTCCCCAAACGCCGTAGACTTAACTGGCATTCAGTAGTATTAATGTAGTTGATATTTTCTCACTGTGTTTGCACATTCTTCTGTTTTAGGAAGCCTGTTTGGTAACACACAGAACAAAGGGTTTGGGTTTTCCTCCGGGCTTGGCACTGGGACTGCTGCTGGGACAGGAGGATTTGGAACTGGATTAGGAACAACTGGCCTGGGTGGGTTTGGAGGCTTTAATATCCAGCCAACTCAGCAGCAGCAAGGTGAGAGCCCATATTTCCTCCAAAAATATGTGAAGATTATAACCCAAACTAGGCAGCCATTGCAGAACATTAAAGATGATGTCCATTATTTGTTTTTAAATTAGTGAATTACTAATTTGGCCATCACACAAAAACACACAAATGAGCACATTAACCATGGCTTGAGAAACATTGATCAGCCTGTCCTGGACAATAGTGCCAGTAATATGTGTATGAAACACATACAATGACTTTACTCATTATAAAATAACAATCAATGAAATCATTAGTTTATCCCCCATGAACATAGATGTTTCAGTAAAGAGTAGAACCTGAATCTGACCTGTCATTTTACCTTTCCTTCCCCCTACCAGGTTTGTTTGGCCAGCAGCAACCGGGTCAGCCTCAGCCCACCCAGCTTTACCAGCAGGTCACCGCTCTGTCAGCACCCACCTTGTTAGGAGATGAGCGCGACTCCATCTTAGCCAAATGGAACCAACTGCAGGCATATTGGGGCACTGGGAAGGGCTACTACAGCAACAACAACCCGGCAGTGGACTTTACCCAGGAGAACCCATTCTGCAGGTTCAAGGTAATGGCGGATAATTCAGCAGACCGGTTGTTAGGTTTATTTGAGTTTGAATATCAGATGGTAGTCCTATCTGTCTTTTGTTTGCTAGGCGGTGGGCTACAGCTGCGTCCCAGTCAGTAAGGATGAGGATGGGTTAGTTGTCTTGATTCTCCATAAAAAGGAAGCTGATGTGCGAGTGCAGCAGCAGCAGCTGGTGGAGTCCCTCCACAAGGTCCTGGGAAGCAACCAGACACTCACTGTCAATGTAGATGGTGTCAAAGCCCTCCCAAGTGACCAGTAAGTCTCTAAAACATGATGTCATACAGTACTACTACACGCATTAATAATAATGGCTTTCAAAAGAGTCTTATTCATATGTCTTCTGTCTCTCAGGACAGAGGTGATCATTTACGTGGTGGAGCGTTCTCCTAATGGCACCTCCAAGCGGATCCCCGCCACCACACTCTTCAGTTATCTGGAGCAGGCCAACATCAAGATGCAGCTCACACAGATTGGAGTGGCCATGTCCGTCACACGCACAGAGCTGTCTCCAGCACAGCTCAAACAGCTGCTGCAAAATGCACCTGCAGGTAAATGTGTCCATGCATGTTTGTGTCATCCTCTCGCTGAATTCAACAAACTATTTGTTTCCTTTTCTTCTTTTTGTCTTGATTTGTAATCTGTGATGTTGTCTCTTCTCACCAGGAGTGGACCCCATCATTTGGGAACAGGCTAAGGTGGATAACCCTGACCCAGAGAAGTAAGTAGAGACTAAAGACTTTTCATAAAGGGTGGTATACGAATAATGTGGGGAGGGGGAGAACAGTTTCGAAAAACTGGAAGGTCCTCAAAACCCTCTAGTTGCTGCATTTTGATTTTTTCCTGACTTTGAAGAATTTCACCTCACTGGGTAACACTAATTCTGGTATATTTAAACTTTATTTTTAAAAGCAAATATGAATAATTGTCATGCTTCATTGTGATTTTTATGCACCATTTCTTTTTATTTAAATCGCCTCTTAAAAGCAGTGCGCACATGCTTGCCCCACTAGACCATATCTAGTCTTAAAGTTAAGTGTTACACTGTTTATTTCTTCAGCAGATTTTGACCACATGATTCTAAGCAAAAGAATATCAATGGCTATGTTTGTTGTTTACAAAAAGTCAATAAAAACTACAGCTTAAGATCCTGTCATTTACATGTGACATGTTGTTTGTTATTAAAGTTGTTGTTTTTTTTTTCAGATTAATCCCAGTACCCATGGTGGGTTTTAGGGAGCTGCTTCGCAGGCTGCAGATCCAGGAACAGATGACCAAACAGCACCAGACTAGAGTGGATGTAAGTCTGTTCCTGCTAGTCTTAAATGTAAAAATGACTCACTGGGCATGGGCACAGCACCTTCGGATTGATTATCAACAACAATAACAAAGGCATTTTAAAGGCAATTTTGTGGTGTCAAGGACAGACTACACAGATGTCTCTAATTCATGCTAGTCTAATTGCTATTACGAATAAAGCTGCAGGTCGCAGTGTCAAAATCATTTTGGTTTATATAGCTTATATAGTTGAAAAGAAAAAGTCGTCTTCACATTGCTTGGATTGTATTTGAGGATATTGACACCAGATACATCACAGCAGATGTCAGTGCCTCATTTCAGTGCCAGAGCGGTCTATTGAAATAGTAGCTCTGGAGCGGACATTGCAGAGAACAGAGGCATCACTACATGTGCCATTGCTAGTTAACATGGTAACACACACTCTACATGGCTCTGGCAGCAGGTAGCCTACAGCTAGCTAGTAGCTAGCGGAAACATGGTAATAATGCAGAGCTAAATGGTCCAACTTTGAATCGTGTGTTCACAAACAGCAACCAACAAATCCTGCTCATTCTGCCTTCAAAGACTAACTCATTAAATCCAATGAATCTCTTTATTTATTATCTTTGAATATAAAAAAAGAAAAGAAGGCATTTGGTACAGCCCTAATCTTGATCTATCTTAGTATGTTTATGAGTAGAATATCCAAAAATCCCCAAACATACACAATATCTAAGGTAAGGCAACAGGCCAGGGATGGTTTACAATGACTTTGGGTTTAAAATAAATATTTTGAATCATCAGAGAAATGCTAAACATGTTAACAACTCTATTCACTGACTTACACACACATGTGGACTTGCAGATTATCTCCAACGACATCAGTGAACTGCAGAAGAACCAGGCGACCACAGTGGCCAAAATCGCCCAATACAAGAGGAAGCTGATGGATCTGTCTCACAGGGTGCTGCAGGTATCCGCCTCACCTTTCTAACTTTGTTCAGTAAAAGAAAAATGGTTGTTGGAGTTTATAGCTCTCCTTTTCCAAGAACAATGAAATTACTTGTGATAAATACCATCTGTAAATTTCATGAGAGTTTGGATGAGCGTCCTGGCACTGTCTGTCTTTAATCTTCTCATATTTATCACCCTTCCTCCTCCGTCCCTATTTTCCTGGCAGGTGCTGATCAAACAGGAGATTCAGAGAAAAAGTGGTTACGCAATCCAAGTGGATGAGGAGCATCTGCGGGTGCAGCTGGACACCATTCAGTCTGAACTCAATGCCCCCACACAGTTCAAGGTAAGTTTGTCTAAACTGTAGCAGTTACAAGTGCTCACTTTTACTTTCATTGAGCATGTTTACTAGACTTGAAATGAGGGCAAAGTGGCTTCACTGCATGTTTGAAATTGTATATTACCACATTTATACTGTGCTACAGTATTTGTATGGTCATTTTATTTATTCTGGCTATTATAGTTGCAGGAATCTGTTCTTGTAACATTGAAATCCTTATTAAGTTTTCCCTTTTTCTTCTTTTTTTTTGTACTTCAACAAACCATACAAAACAAAGACTTTCTGTGACTACAGAATTAGAATAAATAAGCATACTTAAAATGGACCCATTAGCCTTAGAACACAGAGTAGTGTTGAGAAAATAATGAAAAAACAAATGATTTTAAGAAGGGATAAATGAAGTAAGGAGATGTAGTCATGAAAGAAAAACAAGACAGAGGGAACTAAACATCTAAGCACACTGGGTTGAGAGTTATAGGCAATATATTGAACTTACAAAATGTTTATTTTTTCGAGGATTTGGTGGTCCTGCCAGGCTTCATTGTATTTGTTATTAAGTCTTTCTTAAGTCTTAAATGGATATTTTACAGTGTTTGTGTTTTTTCTTCCAGGGTCGGTTGAACGAATTAATGTCCCAAATCCGGATGCAGAATCACTTTGGAGCTGTTAGATCAGAAGAGCGCTACAGTGTTGATGCAGACCTTCTCAGGGAAATAAAACAAGTGAGGCAGCACATTCACACAGTTCTTCTTTTTTTAATATCTGTACCTTGTAATTGAAGTTCAGACCCCCGAATGCACAGTTGTGGTTCTGTAGACCATAACTTGACCATTAACTGAAACACTTCCTCACCTCTCACTTTCAGCACTTGAAACAGCAGCAGGATGGTTTAAGTCATTTGATCAGCGTCATCAAAGACGACTTGGAAGACATCAAACTCATAGAGCACGGACTAAGTGACAGCGGACACATGAGAGGAGGCATCCTGAGCTGAGTCTATCCTACCAACACACACGCACACGCATGCATACACAGTTCACAGTCCTCCTGAAAAGTGGCATGCCTGTCACCCAGACGAGTCAACACGTCCTTTTTGACATGGTATCGGATTAATCTTGAAGCAGTCTTTCGTCTGTAGGGTTATTATCACAGGAGGTCGTAATAATATTTGCTCTCTTTATCACCATTTTGGTGAGTTGATCGGGACTTTGCCTCTCTATCTGTACCAACAAAGCAACGGCTGGTTAATCTGTGCTCTCTGGACTGATATGGAAAGCTTAATGGAAAGACTCAACATTGTCTAATAATAGCTGGCTTCCCTTATGATAAATCAGATTATGGATATGAGACTATAATTGTGACTGGCATGTAAACAAGGTGTAGGATTGAGTGTGTTGTAATTGAATACATTGTAAATACATCTTTGTATTTGTTTTTTATGCTGTTGTTACAATATTAATAAATTTCATTTAAACTGAAAAATAACTACATCAATTTCCTTGTGTGCATACTGTGAAGTTTAATTGAAATGTTTTGATATAATTTTTCTGTTTGGCTATTTCCTTCTGAACAGCACCACTATCTGTGTAGATGTTGTATCCTGTTATTATGTCATATACATATTAGTCATAAACAGGTGCATTGTTGTGGTACTAATATGGGACATCACATGTCCCCCTTGTTTACCTTCAGACGAGCCTTTTCCAACATCTCATCAAAGTAGGGCTTGAGTTGATAGGATTCATGTCCTGGATTCACATCCCCACAAGGATGAAAGACTGATTGGCAGCTGAACTGATTAAGCAGCTTTTGGACAGATTATATCCCCTCGTGCAGTCGAGTCACCCACATCCCAAAGGTCTGAATTACAGTTTTTCAGAGCACAGGTAGATGTACACTTACTTCCATCTGCGTGGGAGTAATAATTGATGCTACTTTTGTTACATAGACCATACCATAGGCAGATAATGTGATGCATGATTGTTGTACTCAAAACAAGTGAAGACGTGATGTAGAAAATATCAGCAGTAATGGCGCCAGTTTTGGATCAAAATATTTTCTAATGTAATGAAATATGCATTTAAAGGCATTCTACTGTGTCGCGAGTGCTTGAGAAGTAGAAATCACAGTAAGTTTGCTTTTGATACAGCTTTTTAATGATCACGTTTTTAATACACCTACATTTTGATGCAGGAGTTTGAGCTTACACGGACTGTTGGAATGCACTTTCCATCACTAATACTTTGTATTCAAGTAAATCAGAAGGTAAAACACTCTTGGTCTGCCACCAACTACACAAGTGATCCTTAAGCTATACACAAATCCTTAAAATACACCAACTTCTTCAATAAACCTAAATAAAAAAAGTTTAAAAAAAGAGAGCCGAAAGTCTTAAGAGGTAGAAACGATCTAGGTTGTATATGGATTGACAATAATGCACTCAATCAACCCACGCAGGTCAAATGGATGACAAACTACTAAACATTTGAATTCTGACAGCTGTGTATCCAGGTGTTTGTCCAAGACAGTTCTTGTTGTTCTCTAGGCAGCAGGTCAGCAGATCAGCAGGTACAGGTACAGCTACAGCTCCTGGTCCAGGCTCTCAGCTATGTGCCGAGAGGTCCACCAGCCGGAAAGCCTCCATGAACTCATTGATATCGATGCTCCCATCCTTGTTGAAGTCGATGCTCTGGGCCAGGTCTGCGATGGCCTTGTCGCTGATCTCTGTCTTAAGATGAGAGCTCAGGAGCTTCCAGGTCTGCCGAAACTCCTCGAAAGAGATCAAACCTAGAAGGAAACACGTAGCGTGAGGATTTAGTTGTACACTAAGTTTGTGGCATAGAAAATTGGAAGCATCACATTTATGGTTGTTGAGATATTTTGGTCTGGATGAAAATGGTTGACCAGCCGACTGAGGCTAAAAGGAGGAGAATGACATGGAGCTAGTGTCTGGGTTCCAGGCTGAGCTGCTTACTGACCTGAGTGATCCGTGTCTATGATACGGAAGATGGTTTCCAGGTTGGAGTGGTTTTTGTACATAGTCTCGAGGATACTGTTATCTGAGATCTAAAATGGAAGAGACAAATTGATCAAGATTTTGCAACTCTGCGTGTGTCAGAGATAGAGACCGAAACGTACAAACAAAACACACGCTGACACCACTTGTACAAAGCTGACCTCTAGTTTGGGCTCAGTGATGGACAACTCCCTTATCCACTGATGGTAGTCCACCATGCCATACCGGGTGCTGCTGACAAGCTGAGGGCGCAGCACCCTCCAGGGAAGACCCAGATTCAGTACTTTCTCTGTGACACTGGCCCAGTGACTTAGAGAGATCAACCCTAAGACACAGACAGAAAAATACAATGAAGATATTGTTAATGAATACTGATCTTGACCTTTTATTGTGCATAACTGAGTGTTAAAATTCCTTATTGCTGCTCAGTGTATAGCAGTATTTATTTTTTGCGAAGTACCTGTGTTGTTAGGATCGAACTCATGGAAGGCACTGATGAGATCTGACTTATGTACAAAGAGTTGTTCCTTCAGAGCTCGCAGAGCTGATCTCTCTGTCCACCCGATACTGACAACGAACAGGTAGAGAAAAACATTTTTTACATCTGTAAATCTTGGTGTAGTCTTGTTAATAGTGTTTTTTGTTATCTTAAAGGTCCAGTGTGTAGCAGGATCTATTGGCTGGGATGGAATATAATATTCATAGGTATGTTTTCATTAGTGTATAATCACCTGAAAATAAGAATAGTTGTCTTCTTGTTACCTTAGAATGAGACGGTTTTATCTACAGCGATATCGGGTCCTCTTCTTAAGAGGTCGCCATGTTGACCCACCATGTTTCTACAGTAGCCCAGAGCAGTCAAACCAAACACTGGCTCTAGATAGGGCCTTTTGCATTTTTCTCAAGTTTTGCATCCACAGTAGTTTCTCCTACATGCTTGAAACACAACGGTGAGGCGAGGTTGTAATCTGAACTGCTAGATGCCACTAAATCCTACACACTGGTCCTTGTGTGTATATTTATGTGTGTATGTACCTTTGTCTCAGGGTGAACTCTCTGCTCGTCCTGCTGGCCTGGTACTGAATGAAGTGAGGGACCAGATCAGGGCCCATTCTGATGTAGGCTCCTCTGTTGCTGCCCACCTCATAGTAGTTAGAGGCTGAAAATATAGTCAGCACCTGGATGCAACAGAAGACGGTTAGCACTTTCGCAAAGACTCACTGTATTTGACCCATTGATTACTCACTGGTGTCAGACTGAAATGCTTACACTAGAGGATCTGTCACAACAGCTGCTTCTGTTTAGTTGTTTTGTTGGAATGTGTGTGAACCAGCCCACGTTTCCACCAGTTACTAGTGGCACCATTGTAATCAAGGATGCGTCATCAACAGAGAGTGTTGCACAATGCGCAACAACTTGTAGAATACAACACTTTGGTTTGGTTTCCCAACGAAAACCTGCTACTTTTGGTCAAAACAATGCGAACGGTTCAAAATAGGTGCCCGAATCAGAATGGAGCCGGTTTCCTGTTGGTTGAAAAAGGCCTAAGTGTGATCTAGCCAATCCCAGTTACCAATTCCCTCTTTATCTTCCCTGCGTATATACCAGCCCCCTTTCTCATTTCACAGATTACCTAATGTACTATCAAGTCTTAAAGCCTTTCAGCCTTTGTTCCTGTTTCTTGCCTGCCGGTTCTCGGTTACTGTTTGCCAGACTCTGCATTTTGACTTTGGTCCTAGTGCACACATTTTCCATGGGTGAGCAGTGGATGTCTGTTGTGTGTGTTCATTTGCACAAACGTGAGTAAAACCCCCTCTCAGCTAATATTAGACAAGCATTGTTTATTATCTGATTTCATTATTAGTCCTGTTAACTGCCTGCACTCAACTCTCTAATTGGAGAGTCCTTAAAAGAGCTATCAGGCCAAGTAAACAATAGATTGCTTTCAGCTGCTTTACCTCTGAGTCCACATCTCTGTTTTCAGAAACACTTCAAGATCTACATTCTTACCGTCTTCAGCTTAGAGTTTCTTGATTACACCACTCAAAAGCAAAAAGTACTTGTAACCATAATTAGTATCGCACCTTTAACCTGTGCCTCATGTGTGTCTTTGTGCTCACCCTGCGGTTGTGGCAGAACTCGTAGCCTTCCTGTTTGCACTCATGGGAGCGGATGAGGAGCTGGAGGTTGTGTTTTCCCAGCACTTCCTCAGAGACATCTGGCCCCCAGTAGCAGCCTCCACCTCTCACCTCATTCGGACTGCAGCCGTTTTGAGGCATTGGGTCACTCCATAACATGTCCACTATCTGGTGGGCCAAACCGTTCTTAGTTTAATATGTTTGCTCTTAACAGCAAACGACTTTAAATACTGTTGAGATCCAAAATCCTTCCTGTTACTTACTTGTTTCCACTCATGCTCATCTGTTTCTGTTGTTTCTCCAGACTCCGGGTCTGAGTCAGAGTCAGACTTTGTCAGTTCTCCGTAGGACTGGTCAAAGCCAGCCTGCCGGCGCCTCCTTTTCAGTTCCTCCTCCACTGACCAGTTGAGTTGACTGCTCGTGGGCTGGTTGTGGAGCGAGCGGCGTGGCAGGTTGTGCTTGTAAGCCGGGGCTGAGCTGTGGTAAGTCAGAGAGCACACTCTACGCCGGCCTTCCACCAGTCCACCGGCCTCCCTGTTCCTGTTGTTCATCATCTGAGTCTTGCTGCCATTGACTGCATGATGGGTCGGCTTGGGAGGCCTGAGAACCGACACATACTGCACACATTCAAAAGTACACAAATTAAATATGCTTAATATCACGCTTACTGTATATCTTCGCTGACTGTAAAAATACTTTGTTGATGCTGAAGGCCTCTCTTACTTTGTGTCTGTCCACTCTGGCTATCGTGTTGAGGTCTGTCGTGTCAGAGATCCCACCGTGCACAATCAGCACCTTGTGATCAATCACTGTGGCCAGAGGCAGCCAGCTGAAGATCTTCTGGAGAAGCTTTAGGATCTTCTTGCCATGCATCTGCAGACCAAGTCAGGCTTACAGTTACTTACATACTGTACAGTTAGAGGAATTATTATTTTGAGTTCCTTATCTTGTTTAGCCATGCTAGCAGTGGTCAGTTAGTCAATCCACGACATTCATATTTCGCAGATGATGAATCCTACTGACTCTGGCAATGCCCTGACTTTTCCTCTCGCTGTTCCATCTGGTATAAACATTAATTTGTCCAAATACTTAACTAATGATATAACCACCAGCTTCAGCTGTATTTAGCATCGTAAACTAAAATGGTAAACATAATACCTGCTTAGCATCAGCATGTTAGCAATCTAACATTAGCACTTATCTCAAAGCATCTCTCTGCCTAAATACTGACTCTCAGAGCCGGTAGCATGGCTGTAGACTCTTACAGTCGTGTTCTTATTGTCAACAGGTTTTATGAAAAGGCCAAAACTTACAATGTCTTAGTCAGGCTTTGGCTAGATTGACAATAATTGTTATTAGGATCAGTTTATTATTGGTTCTCTTATTTTTGTGAGATTTGTTGACAAAATGAAAATAGAGAATATCCTTTAACCCACAATCATTTGTTCCAGTTATTTAATGCTGGGACTCAGACTCACACTGGGAGTCAGACATGGTGTATCAAATTGCTGCTGGCAGACAATCTGTTTATGTGAAAAACTGTTTTTGTTTTAGGCCTCAAGGGGTGGCCACAGTCACCCACATCACAGGAACGAGAAAAGTTACAATCTGAAGGTTATTTTTTTACACATGCAGGCCTGAACGAAGTGAAAAGTGCATAGTTTATATTTGGCTTGAATTTTTCCATTTTATATTTCTAATTCACCACATTTAGGAGGGAAATATTATACTTTTTACCCCATTATATTTATTTGACAGCTGTAGTTACGAGTAAGTTTGCAGATTATAATTTTAGATACAAAACATATAATGAGCTTTTAAAATATGAAGACATGCTAGGGTTAACCAACCCAGCAACACTTACGGGAGCCATTTTTACCTTGTTTTGCTAATTTTTCTTAGGTTAAAGGATCTCAGTTTGGCTGAGAATCAATATATTATTGAGGTTAAAGCAAAATACACAAGACTTACCCTATATTTTCCCAAAACTTCTTTAGTGAAACCATATCTGGAGAAAAAACACACAATACAATAAACAACCGTATTAGTATACACATCAGCTGTAGGTTAAATATAATCAGAACACTAATTGCATAAAGACATAATATAAGCAGACTAAATTTATAAAAACATTAACACTAAGAAAACAGGCAGAAACTGTTAAATCTGACCTGAGGTTAACAATGTGGTCTTCATGGTTCCCTCTGTTCAGATGGACGTCATTCGGATAAACCAAGAGGAACCCGAACAGGATGAGCAGGATCTCTAAGGAGTTTTTCCCACGATCCACAAAGTCTCCATTGAAGACATACGGTTTCTCAGAGGATGGCAAACCATTCTGGACGGGTTAAATTAAAGATGTTAATTTAAATGAACATCCCTGTCTGACAATACGATGATTTGCAGGTTGTGAATACCTTGTAGAAAATCAACAGCAGATCTTCAAGATGCCCATGTAAATCTCCTGTGAAAGAAAGAATGATGCATTAATATTCATGACAGTGGGACTAAAAAAGAGGGGAGTAAAAAGAACCAGAACTCAGTACCACAGATGGTAATCTCCTTGGTATGGCAGGCAGAAACTTGATTGATATTTGGAAGAATTCTGAGGAGTCTCCAAGTCTCTCCAAGAAGCTGCAGAACATATCGAGCATGGAGCTGCTACTGGGGAAAAAAACAGGTATGATTAAACTGAGTGCTGAAGGCAACCATTAGATACTTGTGTCTTCATGTCTGCTTTGAGTACCTGCCATGAGTGTGCTTTATGCGCCTGTATACCTACTTGTTTGTGCTTGAAGGCCTCCACCAGCTTCGACACCCCACAGAAGGTCATGGGGAAGGTCAGATGGGGGCCGGTGTAGCTGTCGGGTACCTCAATGTCCTTGTAGCAAAAATATCTCTCCCATTCTGTGTCACGACAGATTTCATTCTCACGAAAGATGTGAGATATTAGGTTTCCTACATTAAAGGCAGAGAGGGGAAGAGCAGGAAGAAGATTAGTGCGGTAAAAGAAAGCCACATTACGGGTGAGCTCAGATTAGCTCACTGTCAGTAATCTAATGAAACCTACAAGTTAGTGAATTAAACAGTCAGTCTTACTCTCACTGCTGGCTGGGGTGAAGTGGTCCATCAGGAAGCCAAAGAAATTGTAGAGCTGCAGGAAGGAGAAAGAATTTGAAAGTTAAAGGTCATTTGCAAAAGATTAATGAACAAGCTCGCAGCTCTGTGAGAGTTCTTTGAGCTAAATGCTAATGCAAGCATGCTAAAATATGCTCACAATGATGATGTTTACCATATTCATCTCATTTTAGTGTTAGCATGCTAACATTTGCTAATTGGCACAGAAAGTACAGCTGAGGCTGATGGGTCATTAGTTTTGCAGGTATTTGGTCAGAATCCAAAGTATTGGACAAACTGAAATTCTGACCTGATGAAGCACTTTATTGGAGTTAAGTTAAGGGATCATCAAAGTTATTGCAATTCATCCTCTGGGCACCATGAATGTCTGTATCAAATTTCATGGCAACCCGTCTTGTAGTGATTGAGATTTTTCAATAAAATCCAAAAATGTGAACCACATGTTGCAAGAGGAAAAGTCTAGGGATCACCAAGATTAAAAAGATTTATCCCATAGACCATGAATATCTTCAAATTTTTCAATTTCAATCTATCCAAGCTTTTTCATTCTGAACCACAAATGAGGAAAAGTCAAGGAGATTCAACTCTATTTTATTTATATAGCGCCAAATCATAACAGAAGTTATCTGCTGTACATAAAGCAAGTCTAGACTGTACTCCCTGTAAAACAATTTACAGGGACGCAAAGGTTCCCACCGACCTGGCACATTTGAGATGAACTGATATTAATTATGTACAAACAACCTTTTTTTCTAAAGTGTTCAAAGCTGTGTGGCCTCACCTTGATCTGGTCTTGCTCTCCTGCATATTCAATAGACTGGAAGATGTTCCACGTGCACCTGCGTCTCATCTCCAGCCGGGCAACATACTGACGGTACCAGCGCTGGATCAACAGAGCTGCTCTGATTGCTGATGATTCGGGGAGAAAAAGGAAGCACTTGGTCGTAACGATGCTGAGGTAATCTCCCACTACCAGTAAGTTCATTCACGTCATTCATGTCAGATCTAGACTGAAAGACTCACCAGTGGCAGCTTCACAAAGTGCATAAAAAGAGTAGAGAGAGAGAGAAATCAAACACTGCTAACTGAGAGTTTTGAACACAAGATGTAAAGACGTGATAAATAAATAAAACACATATTTACCTGGAACCGAGAGACTCACTGAAAATGACAAACAGTAATGACGCTGATGTTAAATTACTGCAATAAAAATCAACATTTCTTTAAAAGCTTGACTATTAACTAGAAGGATTTTGATAAAGGCCCCACCTCTTTCACATTTCTTCAGCTGTAGTTTTGATTTTCCCATGCCACATCCCATGACCCTTAGCGGTTTTCACTGTCAAAGACAAAGATACTTTGATGTGAGAGTCTTGGATATTTGACCTGGTGTTTTGCAAACTGGAAATAATGCAATAATAGACCTCTTTATACAGTATAACACATTTTCCTTTTACTTAATCTATTTTACTACACACTTTTATATTAGAACAATTCCTAATATATATACATTTACAACATAAACAACATTAACAGCAACATAAACAAACCTTCATAATTTGGAGAAATCCTTCGTATTACTCATAATTACTGAACATAATTGCAAACATAGGGATAGAATAAGCACTTTTACATTTAATTGAATGTCTAAAGGGTCTATTAAGAGTAAATATTACCAAAACTATTGTACAACAGAGTAATCACACTGCAAAAAGAAAACAAAGGACTGGATTGGCCCAGAGGAACTCACCTGGCCACGTTACCTTTCTTTCATTACCTCCACTCACTCAACTTTCCAGCCACACTGTTACGGTTTGAGCAGAAATTAAGCATGTGTTATCTCTTGGATTGTTCCATTTCCCAGGCACAGCAGCACAAGTCCCGGTGGCTATATTGGTGAAATTGGATGTCCACTTCTCTGTAGCTACACACTCTCAGCCATCACAAACACACACTGGCTGCAGGCTTGTAAATATCAGAGCTGTGTGTCTTGGACAGACCACGTGATCACTTAAACACAACAAGATGAGAGTGGATTAGGATTAAACCTTACTACGGCTGGCATCTATGCTGAATAAACGGATGACGGCTCTGATAAAGGGCAGCAACTGTTATGAAACGCGGTGTGTGTAGGCTTCAGCTCAAGACCTGTGTCATCGTCTCCGTTTTCTCTACCTCAATTAACAGCTGTCTCTCCATTAACTGGTCTGGACACGTCTATTCTCAATGAACATGTACAGTGAAAAGTAATACAGATCTATCTATCTATCTATCTATCTATCTATAATATTCAGCTTTAAAACAATTCAACATCTGTTTCAGTAAAAACTAAACATTACAAGCTTTACAAGGTTGTACTCATTGCAGGACTACTGGCCTGTATTACATTGTTACAGTGGGTGTTCTGTCTGTCTGCACTTATCATATTTAAGCCTTGTTGTACAGACATTTATTTTGAAATGTATCTTTGTATTAATATTACCCACAGGGAAGTTCTGTTAATGTAGCTTCTCCATCTCGCTACATTAAATCCTGCTTCATTTTCAATAAGACCATATTAGATTAAACAGTGATGAAAAGTAAAAGTCTTGCACTGTAAAACTCCCCTCGTCTTTTGTGTGTTGAAATACATTTCAAGAATGTCCTCTGTGTTGTGTGCTGGTGGAACATCTGCATCTTTCATCTTCCACAGTCCTTCCTCTGTGTATAAAAGCTCTTTGTGATCCCGGCCAGGACCAGCTGTCGGTGGTGTTACTCCCAGCAGCACTACAACAAGGAAGTGGTGGGAGACGTCTGATGCTCAAGGACTTTGCTCATTCATGCGTGGTTATAGAAGGTTCAAAACAGCACTATCCCACAGTGGCCTCAGGTGTGTGTGTGTGTGTGTGTGTGTGTGTGTGTGTGTGTGTGTGTGTGTGTGTGTGTGTTTAAAGGATATGGCTGATAATATTATCTATTATTATTGGTGCCAACAAATCACATGAAAAGACCAAAACCAACTATTTGTTTATCCGTCTCACAAAACTTACTTTCCCACTGAAAATTAAAATCTTTAAAAACAGATAACTCACTGATATACGCTTTCATTTAAAATATATATATACACACACATGTTGGGAACTATTTTCAGCTGAAAAAGAAGTAAAATAACATAAACATGTAGATAGATGTGAAGGTAAAGGAAGGGAGTAAAAAAAGTTGAAAATGTATTTATTCTAAATCTCATGGAAATACACATGAAAATTCATTTTCTGTTACATTTTAGTTAATTATTATTATTATTATTAGTATTGTGATAAACACCATCATAATTAGATAATAAATAAGAAACAGAAATGAATATGCCTATGAAATTATTTTTCTTCTAGCAGCAGCTACTGTATACGTAGTTAACAACAGCCAGTGGTCATTTTAGCAACAAGTAAAGCAAACTGTCAATCAGCAAATTCCATAAATCTAATCATATTTATTAAACTATAGTGACTCATTTATTTATTTCAGAATGTATTTCATAGTCACATTTATGTTTTTATCTGTTAATTTATGTATTTAATACATTTCTTAAATTCCATATGTGACACTATGTGTTTTTGGACAACAACTGTGGTCTATGGTATGGAGGAATAAGCTATATCAGCTACAGAAGTACACAGACAATACTTATTCATTTACTTCTCGGTTTTGATTTGTTTGCCAATAAGATACATATGGAAATTCACCAGAGTTATCCTTCTGTATTTGCATGTTGTAACAATCATTATTTCACCAAAGAAAAGGAATTTAAAAATAAAACTTACCTGACCTAACCTAAAGACACGCTGCCCAGGTACATTTGTTTGTCATTTCTGAAAGTGCTCCAGCTGTGAGAAGTTGAGACCTGAGATTATTGAGATCTGCACAGTGTTGTTGAGACCTGTAGAGCAATTGAAAGCAATAAAAAATGATATCATGTAATTCTGTTTTGATGCCAAGCACACAAAGTGCTTTACAAATGATTTGACAATGGTGGAAGACGTATTCAGATCCTTTACTTCAGTAAAAGTAGCAATATCACCTGTCCTGTATTCAAAGTCCTACTGAAATATGGCAGAAGTACAAAAGCATTATCAGCATAATGTACTTAAAGTATCAAAGGTAAAGGTACTATATATATTATTATATTCTACATTATTAAATTGTTAATACTGATGTGTAAGCAGCATTTTACTGTAGCTCTACTGTAGCATGCACTTAAGTACACGCATGCACTAACAAAGGTAGTTTTTCTTTCTGCAGGTCTGCATCTCTCCAATTATTAACATGATCTTCAGTTCAGTGAGAGCATCGGTCTTGTATCAGCTTGTACCAAGAATTCCTGTGGCACTGTTGATAAATTATAGTTTGATATCTGCTGCAGGAGATTAACTGTGTATTTTTGGCTACATGGGAAATTTTTGATTGCAAGGGCATCTGATGACTTGAAGTTACCATTCTTCGCATGCCTCTGACCCTCGCTGGCTCACACAACTGTCAATGCTGCCAAGCTTACTTGTTCTGGGCTTTCAGATATTAACATCACCTGCAGTAGCCACTATTGCTTTGTGTTACATTTCTTCCCTCCAGATCCCGTCCTTGAATACCAACTGAAGGGTAATAATATTGTTATTAACTTTATCAGTGGAGATTTCTGCTTTTCATGTCAGGCCAAAAAAAAATGGGAGTTGTAATGGAAACTGTACCCAGTGGCGGAATGTAACTAAGTACATTTACTCTGTAGAGTATAGAACTTCGAAGTACTTTTCTGTAGTACTTCCATTTTATGCAGATTCATACTAATATTGCATCTCAGAGGCAAATATTGTTATTTTTACTCTCATGTCCAGTGAAAACCACATATCTCTGAATTTGGTTATATATATTTTTTATCATAAATTTAAGGATTAAGTTTTCCTTAATAATACAATTTTTCTTATTCTTAAACTAAATAAATGAACCCCTCCCCTGGATTAACTGGAAAATGCATTGTTTCATAGGACAGTGACGCTACAAAGATGTGATGATCTTATACAATATGATGCATTGCTGTAGATTAAACTACACTACAGTATATAAAGTTGTTAAAATTAGCTCCAATTTTACATCTACTGCAGTTAAATGCAACACACACATTAATGCGGCAGTAATATTAATCCAAAAATATTACATATAATTGTAAAACACTGACAGAGTACTTTTATTTTTGATACTTTAAAGGTCCTGTGTGTAACATTTAGGAGGCTCTATCGACAGAAGTGGAATATAATATTCATAGGTATGTTATCATTAGTATATAATCACCTGACTAAAGGAATACTTGTGTTTTTGTTACCTTATAATGAGATTTTTATATCTACAGACACTGCAGGTCACCTTCCATGGTGTCCGCCATGTTGATCCACAATGTTTCTGCAGTAGCTCAGAACAGAAGAACCAAATTCTGGCTCTGTATCAGGGCGTTTGTATTTTTCATGAGTTTCGTGGCCACCCTAGTTGTGTGATTGAGCGTGAAGCGATGGAGTTGCAATCTGTTATGCATATTTACCAGATAGATTTATCCCGAGGGAAATTCAAGCATCCAGTAGCGTACGAGACATACATTAAACACACATAGAATACAATTTTAAAATAAAATTAAAGTTAACTTATAACACAGTAGCTAAAGCAAACAGTAAGCAGTGCAGATGGGGTGCAAATGAAGTAGAGATTGTCCATTGTCTATTATCTATTGTCCTCCATGCCTTTACTAAGAGCTGTTGTACAGCCTGATGGCCATGCGGACGAAAGGGTTTTTCAGTCTGTTGGTGGAGCTGGATAGGTGGATTACCATCCTCTTTCTTCTGACCTCCCTCCCACCTCTCACTCCTGTCTCTCTTTCTTTCTCGGCTGGATCATCCTCCTTGTACTCGTTCACAGGGGACAAGACAACAATGTTAAGTATCTCAAGGCCAAGCTGGGGTACAGGAAGATAAAAACCCAAGTTCCCAGGAACTGACAAACAATACCTAGGGAAGCATCACTGTCTGGTCACTCCTATCTCTTTGTCCAACCAGACGCACAGAACCAACCGTCGTCCGCCACGAATCTGACTCAAAGGCAATTGATCTATAGATAGACCATCCAGCACCATGTCCTTTACGTTCATTGTCATTATGATGATTCTGGGCTCCTCAGTGACAATTGCATTTGTCTTGAAGCCATCCAAAGAAGAATCTGCAGCGTCTGCCAACTCTCCTGTTTCCCCTCACAGGTCAGTACCAATGTTCAGCTTTTTACAGTAGTTACCTCCAGAATATCCTAAGAATTATGAAACATCTTGTCAGGTCACAGAGGTTATTACACTACTCACAAAAAGTTAGGGATATTCGGCTTTCGGATGAAATTTCAGAATGTACATAAAATGCACTATAACCTTTCCAGGTGATCTTAATTTGACCTTCTACTTAAATGCCCTACTTTCATGATACAATATCACTGTAGCATCAACTTTTTACATTTTCCATAAATTTCACCCGAAAGTGGAATATCCCTAACTTTTTGTGAGTAGTGTATATTCAAAAACAGCCTCAGTGCTCTAGACATGGCTGCACGTTGTAATCTGTTGATGCATGCATGCTGAGGCCCCTCTCACATGGGTTAATGGACAATTCTGTGTATGATTCAGGGTCACAGTGGCCATTTGCTTTCCAAGAATGTTGTGCAGAGTTGTAACACACAGTTCTGCTTAAGCTTCAGCAGTCTAATCAATAACTTCTGTACTGTTATGTCTGTAAAGTGCTTCCATAGCTCATTGAGGGAGTTTAGAGAATGTGTGTTTTGCCACATCTGGCATGTATTCAGACACAGTAGCTACTAACTAATGCTCATTTTTGTCTTGATTTGAACACAGTAACTTATTTTTATGAAATGTTCAGGATTTCTTCAATTTATGCATGTTTCTGTTGTTTTTTAATATTACGCACTATATAAATAACTTGAGTGCTATGTGATGTCCAGGTGCCAGGGTGAGTCATTGCAGTCCATCAGGAAGAGTCTCCTCAGGGGTCTCAACTTGCAGGTTGAGCCACAGCTGCCTGCTGGTGGACTGGATGGTGTCAGAGAGCAATGGAGGAGCACCTTCAGCAACATTGCTGACAGAGCCAAGGATGCTGCAGGTAAGTGGAAACCAGAATTCCAGCCTGAGCTTGAATAGCGGCTTTTTCAATGTACAGGCAAAAATCAAACTCGGGAGTCTTCATAGTCTTCATAATCAATCAGCGATCAAGATAGGATCCCCATAAATTACAATAGATCAATATGGTTAGTCCTATTTCTTCCCTTGTTGTCCCACGTTCCAAAAAAACATGAAAGTTAAAAAACTTTATTCCTCAAGGGGCCCTGTTGGCCCCCGGACCCCAATTTAAAAACCACTGGTCTAACTCATTCTCCTTTTACTCTGCCCTTCCAGTTCCTGCGGTCTCTGGCTACTCTGCGTCACCTGATGATGGAAACAGTACAAGCCTGAAGTGCTGCTCCATGGCCTCCGAGATCTTCATGAAAGGTATGCAACAATGCGTGTGTATGTTTGTGCATATTAACACGCACTCACATATAAAGAAATATGATAATGCATGTTATATCCATTGTTGTGTTTGCCAGATCTGGGATGGGACAACTGGGTGATCCATCCTGCCAGCATTGCCATCGTTCAGTGTGCGCTCTGCAACCCTGAAGTGAACACCGCGCAGTGTCCATCATCCCACACCAACGTCGAGGAAGCCGACTCACAGGTATAAATTCTTAAGACATTTGAATAGTGAAATAAGTGTCTGCAAACCCTAATTGCCTTATATTATACATTTCTGATTTACATTTACATACATTTATAGTATTTTCCTCTCAAAGTGCAAAGACATCCAGCTGAGGTGACCTGGAAAATACCCATAGGTGTGTGATAGAGTCAGTGTTAGCACTCTGATGGACTGCTTTTGCCAGACTCATGGAATTATATTATAGAAATTCTCTATTATTCCATTATTAAAAATCTTGGAAAATCTTCTTAAGTATCAGAAGAACAGAATGACCTCTTTTATGATTAGAATCTAATGATTATGATTGATTGGGTGCTTTAAACCATGAACTAAAAATCATCAAATATAATCTTAATATCTTAATCAGTAAAATAACTACAGCTGTCAGATAAATGTACAAAGTATTTATCTCTGAATTGTGTACTAGTAAGTTTTCCACCACTGTGCCAGAGTTTTAGTATCTTGGAGCCACAAACTGCATGAAGGAGGTGAAACAGCTGCCAGTAGATCAGCCTGTTTTCTCCCCCCTGCCAACATTAATGTTCCCACTTTCCAAATACGAGACACTCCCCACAGGTTGTCAGCCAGAAATGATGTTTACTGTGGACACCGAAGACGGTATAACTGCGGCAGAATGATTGCACAAAACTATTCAGTTGTAAAGACGAGTATTTACTGTGGGCTCCTATTATCAGCTTTTACTAATTGTCAATTGTGAGTTCCTAGTTATTTTAAATTAACTTTGTTTGAGTACTAATGTACTCTCCTTTTACTCAAATAGTGTAAATTCACCTGTTGATAAATGTATGCAATCCTATCCACACCTTTTACTGAAAAGTTCCAGCATGCATCTTTTAAAATAAAGATTTATAGGCCACGTTTGTAACTTTGTTTTGACTTTTTTTCTAATTTCATTTACTGTGTTACCGTGCCTTTCTCCAGGCCCAGATGCCATGTTGTCAGCCCACCTCCCAGAAAATGGTGCCTGTCGTCTACCTGGATGAATTCAGCACCCTTGTCATTTCCTCTGTGCAGCTGACCCACAGCTGTGGCTGTGAACATGGCAACATCCAGCAGCCCAGCAAAGAGTAAAGTGAGATCAGTGAGCAACCTGGCGCACACACAAAAACATTATATACAGGCCTGTCGTCTCTTTTGTAGACTGTTTCTCTTCTCTTTTTCTAATTTCAGGTGTTATCTTAGATCCTTACAATGTGTGTTCAGCACTGAGCATGGGAACAAACGCAAAGTCTCTCTATAACTCAGCTGACACTCGTGATACATGCTGCCATTTCATCTTTAAATAAATCTCATGAGTACAGAGTGCTATTTAAAGCCCTCCAAAAATGTGAGACTGTCCAGAGCCAAATCCTCTCACAGGCCAGTTGTCTGATCTGTGAGACGACTGTCTCCTCTTAAGGGCAAGAAGTCAATTTAGTCCCAGTAAGCAAACTGAGGTCAAATAAAATGGGTTAGGGCTAACCCTAATGCTAGCCATTTTTAGGGTTAGACATTCTTTTGCAGGGAGAGTAACAGGAGAAGAATGTGTTCACCAGCTGAATTCTCTGCAAATAAAACTTAGTATCAGTGTCTCTTGGGTATGAACATCTGTGCTGTGCTTTTCCACCAACGTCCATTGGCCGCACTCCATTTTCCTGTTTCAACTGTTAGAAAAGATAAAAGGGACAGAGCTGCCTTGCAATCCCTTAAAAGCTCTCACTTTAATAGTGGACAATTAAAACTGTTTGATTTATTATATGAAAGGCAGGCTTTGTCATACAAGAAAATATTAAAAAGTGAAATTAATCATAATTCCAACAAGTACTTTGTTATATCACATTTTAGTTCTTTAGTGTGATGTGTAGTGTTACTTTGACCAGTAAAATGAATGCTCAAAGTCTGGTAGACAACATATAATCCAAATGAGTGTTTAAATTGTGATTTAAAACAACAAAAAAGGTCAGTTTATTGTTTATTGATTTTTACTTGTAGAGCATTTCAGTGTCTGTTCTATTATTTAGTCTGTTATGTTATATATGAATCCAAAACATTGAGTCAGATTTACATAATGTAATGCTTTTATATACATTTTTAACAGAAGAGTTCCAGTTTTGTTTGTTTTCTTATGTCTCTTTGACCATTTCTCATGATTGGTTACAGTTCTCAGTTTTTTGTTTTTTTTATTTCTTTAAGACCTATTTTATTTGTTGTTTTGACATGATCTCACTCACTTTACTATATTACCTCACTGTTCATCTTTTCAAGTGTTTTTTCACAAATGGACTACTACTTATCAGACCACTATATCACCTGAACTCAATACATTTAGATCAAATGCAAAATGTTTTATTGTGCTTTAAAATGTCCCTGATTTGTACCAATTTACTGATTTTTTGCTCACAATTATTGGAATAAAGATGATTCAAACCAAGAGTTTTTTGTTTGTTTGTATTTTGCTTTCACTTCTTTTTCCCGGCACGGTTTATTTTTGACTAAAGTTTATATGATTATTAAAAAGAGCATTATTTTGTTAAATCTGTTCCTCGTGCCAGCCTTTCAGGATTTCACGCCTGTCAGAGAGTTGCATGTTAAGTCTAGAGGGAGGGAAAGAGCAGAGGAAGAAATGTTGGCACTGTACTCCAGAAAACTGGAAAAAACTAAGCTGGTGAGGGGGTGTTGCGCACTTCTTAAAAGTCTTGCTCTGCATGCACACTCAGGGCGTTTTAACTGTTTTCCTGGCTGCGGTGGAATCTGAATTTATGTGTGGAAGCAAGATATTGATCCTGGACTACATTAAAGCAACTACTCTACAAGAGGACAGCAAGATCTGGGCCTGTAACTTAACATAACCAGTTTGTGTTTTATGCTTTAATGACACTGGACACAATGTCAAGGTATTTCACAGTGTGGGTGTTTTTTAGCATATTGTGCCCCCTTCAGCTGGCTGTGGGGGCATTTGAGTGTTCAGAGAAGAAAAAACTGCTGAAACTGAGCCCCAACACGGTGACACAGCTAACGGACTGTTTAATGGAGTGCACTGGGATGACGTTCATCAGAAAACTGCAACTTCAGGATAATCGTAATATACAGCTTAAAGATTCTACAGAAGGTAAGGAGCCACTCTGGAACATTTGCATCTTAAGGATGCTGCAAAATAACATATCTTACCAGAGTGTGTGTTTTAAGATAACCCCTAAACTAAATGTTATCAATAGTAAAAGTGGTTCTCTTATGTCAATTCATTCCTGCTTGATCTGCTGTGTGTAGGCCTTCATGAAATAATCTTTCTTCCTAGGAGACCTCGGGGAATACTGTTGGTCTATGGAGCTCAAGTGCACCATTGGGGAGAGTTTTCAGCAAGCCTATGTGGTGTTGCCTGTTGATATATCTTCAGTCGGACCTGAGATACTGGAATTCAAAGTCATTGCCCCCACTGCCACCACACTGCATGCACACAACAGCCCCACCACAATCGCAGAGAACTGTGGCCTCCGGTACGACGTTACTCAGCACTTCAGCACGGAGAGGACGGGGGGTTCATTCTGCGTACAAGTCGTCACCCAGGAAGATGTCCTGGGGGACAAAGTTCTTAAATGTCCTCCCTATCTGGTCACCTTCTGGCAGAGAAATCCAAGTCAGTCCAACCAAGAAGGTGACGGATAAAATCTCAGTGATGAAATAAATACTTTAATTAAAGTATTTATACCACACTGAAACTACAAGTAGTCCTGCATTGGAATTGTTACTTTAGTAAAAGTATGTGAGTATAATCAGGGAAAAATAGCCAAAATTAGATTATTATAACTGAATTAGGGGTTAGGGTTAGGGTTAATGTTAAAGCAGCATATTACTGTTGAGGTGTTTATGTATTTTGTACAGGACAGCACTAATGATTATTTTCATGACAGATTAAGCTTTTGACAGTTTTCCTCATTAATTGAATGATGTTTTTTGGTTTTTTTTTTTGTAAAAATACTGAAAATATCAAGAAATGCATTTTACCCAGAGCCCAAAGTGACATCTTCACAGACACAAGATTTAAAGGAAAAGCAGCAAATCTTTACTTTTCAGAAGCTGGAGGGACTGTCAAGTTTTCTCTTTCTGTGTGAAAGATAACAACTAACAAAGGCCACATATATAAACATTTAAGCCATATATCCATGCTGATTTTGATGCTCTAAAGATAGCTTTCATTGCAAACAGCCTCTGCACTCATGATATACATTAACAATAACATACCAAGGTAAATACTTACAGTATATTGTGAACATTTCTCATGATATGGTGTTCTGTTTTATAAGGGACATTTTAAAATTAGAATAAATGATAATCTTTTTTTAGGATTTCTTAATGTGAATTTTATTTCTTGTTTTAGTTGTGAAGCTATTTGATGGCATTTGAGCAAAGAAGCAGATGTGGATCATTTTGCATGCATATCAAGCACTAAGTGATGTTTATTAGAAGACATCATCAGTGCTCTTCTGGATTTATTCAAAGGCAGCCAGAGAGATGTAAAAGTTATCAGATAAATGAAGAATGTAAATATGAGATGTTAATGGTTGTAAGTTTTTATAGTGATATTAAAACGTTTTATTTTTCTTTGTTCACTCACGTGTCTGACTATTGAAACATTAACTGATACATTATATAAAACTCATAAACCAGAACCTATTATTGCAAAACCAATTCCTATTACAATTAACTGCAAAACAGAAGAGTAACTATACACGTTACTCCACACTATACATTAATTGTTCTGGGATTTATACTACTATTTGGTTACTATGCTACTATATACAGAACTACAGTGTATGCATCCTGTATGTGTTTGTCTGGTCACTGTACACATGTGTAGTATGTCAGCATGCGCTGCTCTGGTTATCATATCATGTGTATGTGTTTCCATCATTTACCAAAAACAGATCTCACCTGCCCTTAACTGGTTGTGTGACCAGAATTGTCTCAGTTCACAAGAAACCGTATAGTGCCACCTGCTGGTTGATATTTGAACTAAAAGAAACAGAAGACCAGTCCCACTATCCAGCCTCTGGATGGCACGCTTGTTCATTACAGGGCAGTATTGTGTGTTTGTGCTCACATTCCTCACTGTAGTATGTTAAACAAAACATGAAGTGGAAACAGCTGAAATATCCTCTGAGATTCTTGTGTTTTTAAACATCTGAGACACTTCCCACAATCAATATGCTGTGTGTCACTGACCAATCACTGCCCTCAATCAGTTCCTTAAACGTACTAAATTTAAACCCCAGATAAGTGCAGTTTCTTTTACAATACATTATTGATGGGACTTAATAAATACTGTGTTCAATAAAACCCTAACAATACACCCTGAATCCACTTTTTGGAAATTATTTTGACCGTTTTTTGAAGCAAATGTTTCAGTTTGCCCACATACTGTATATTAGGCCTCCACAATAGTTAAACCTGAATATTATGAATACATGTATTTGAGTGAGTGCTTGAGCCCAGCACTGAAATGCTCGCTTTAGCATGAACAAAGCGACCTCTTTTAACTCTCTTTTAGTAGTAGCAATTATACTGTGTTATACATCATGATCATTAGGCCACAACTGGTACTGTTACATCTTTACATTGGCATATTTCCACAGTCGTAAAGTCTCATAGTCCATTCAGCTGTCCTAAGCCTCCAGTTCGGTCTAAATGAAGGAGGATGATGTTGGTGAGCACTGCTGGCAGACAGCCAGTAGCAGCATAACATAACCACCCAGGGTGAGTGTCCAATAACAGACCTTTTTGCACAGCCTGTGGTCAGGCCTGCATTAAATCATACACAGTGTCCATGCTCCAAGAACAGCAACACACAGACAGTCACAGACTCAGGCTGTCCGAGGGGCAGAATGTATGGCACGGATATATGGCACAGCATCACATTTTCTCCACTGAAAAACCACTCTATAGGGCACTTTATCTTGATTTCTCCACTGGAAGTACACCTTAGAGGAGTGGAGAAAACATGATAACTTCCACTGGAAAGGCACACTATGAGATATTTTTGCATGTTTTCTCCGCTGGAAGAACACCCTTTAGGGTATTTTAGCATGTTTTCTCCACTGGAAGAACACCCTTTAGGGTATTTTAGCATGTTTTCACCACACCTCTAAGGTGTCCTTTCAGTGAAGAAAACATGATAAAGTAACTCCACTGAAAGGGCACCCTATAGGGTATTTTATCATGTGTGTTTTATCCACTGGAAGGGCACCTTAGAGGACTAGAGAAAACATGATAACATGAAACACAAGCTTCTTGATTTTTTTCAAGCCAGGCAAAACTGTTCTCTGATGCACTTCATCAACATGTTCATCCTACATGTTTTATCGAAATGTGTTGTATAACTCATCTGTTTTCTGCTGCAGGCTAAGCTCTGAAACCTGCAGGAGACGTCAGAACCACTGCCAGTTTTCACTCTGTGTCACCAGATCTTGACTCACTCACCAAAACTGGCACCAAGGTGGTAGAGTGAGTCAGAAGACTTTAAGATCTGCTCCAGTATTTCTGGCCAGGAGAGTAAATCCCTGCCAGATCCAGTTCTGCTTTTTAGCTGTAAACAGGTAAGGTACTGCATCAACAACCACAATCACTAAAGGGAGTGGCAGATGTTTCTTGATTTTTAAACTAAAACATGGATATATGTTGTTATATCTGGTCAATTTTTAAGTAAAAGTATTTTGTGCTGGATCACTTTTATCACACATGTCTAGAAATTACATGCAGGTATTAAATAACACATAAAACAAGCAATTGGTAAACATTAGTTACCCTCAAGTTGCAACACTTAATGTTACCATTTACCATGTAATGCCAAGTGGCCACTGTGTTTTTTTAAAGGAGGACAGAAGATTGCCCTTCCTCATATTAAAGCTTATTTTTCTACAGAAGACTGGTAATCTAATTCCCATGGATGAGCTGTCAGTGGAAAACAACATTTTTGTCAGCAATAAAATGTCTGTCCAATCAGTCCACCAAATAAGCTAAAACACAACAACAACAACAACAACAACAACAACAAAATGTGAATTGACTTTAAAGAAGGGAAGGTAATTCAGAGTGGACTACAAGGAGTATAAATGTGCTTTAAATAAAGGTAATTCTGTCAAAACAGACAACAAATTACTGCTTAAAACAGCTAATTTTATAAAGCTTTTAATAGCTTTTTAATGATCTAATAGGTGTGATGACCCCTCCCACTCTGTCAGAGGGTCGTCACATAGGCCATTGATTATTCTCATTTCTGCTGTTATTGCAATGCTGGAAACAAATTATTAAAAAAACACCATTTACTGCCACTTTTAGGGTAAAATACTCAGCTTATATTTTATTTGTAATCATATATGTGTCTCTCTATTGATCATCCTTCTTTGTTTTAGGTGTGATCTATTTTTCTATCAGTCACATCAAATTAAGAAGATTTTTTTAAGCTGTAATCAAACACGCAAAACATTTTTAATGCACCACTGCGTGGTTAAAAACAAAACAAAACAAACAACAAACAACAAACACACATGACTGTACCATGTCTGTCACGCAGGGGTAATGGTGTAAAGTTTGGGAAAACTGTTAAAAAACTGTAAATAATACAGATCTCTCGTTATATTTACACTCACAATGGTGACACATCTGCTTTTAGGGGGGTTTTCTGACCTGTTTTTACTGCTTTGAGTGTATAAAACCGAGCTTGGTCCCCGGACGGCTGAATAGAGTAGAACAATCCAGAGAGAGAGGGAGAGAGAGACATGGAGAGAGAGAGAGAGAGAGAGAGAGAGAGAGAGAGAGAGAGGACAACCTAAACAGACGGTGAGCAGACAACTATCAAACAACGGCGGCCTGACAGCTAATCTAAGCTGGACAAATTACCTCCTACCGGTAAACAATGTGACCAAGTGAGGAGGGGGACACCGCGGCGAGGACTGTCAGAAAACACATGACAACCAACTTTGGTTGCCTTGTGAGGGGCGCACCATGGCATCTCAGCCGAGGTAGGCAGACCCAACCGCGGCCACCGCCGCAGCCGCCACCGCCGTTAGCTCGCCTGCTAGCCGCTGGGGCGCTAGCTTCACAGACTGCCTTGCCTGGATAGTTAATTAGCTTAACACACACGCACACACACACACACACACAAAAAAAAGGTTCGCCAGCTCGTTAGCAAGTGTCTTTTAATTAAGTGAAAGTTTTAGTTTGAAACCTCCTGTTACTGTATCAGGAGGATAGTGTAGTTTTATGTTTAAAAACTGACATGCAGGGTTGTTTTTTTTTTAGCCTGATAAGCACTTCGAGGAGGAGGTGGAATCAGCTGGAAAGAGCAGGCTGATGGGATTTTTTTATTTTTTTTTTACCTGCTCTTTAAACAGGGGCTGCTGTGTTTATACACGATGTTTTGTGTTAGTTTACATGTTTATTTATCTTCTTCCGTCGCGTTTGACTAACTTGGATGAGTTGGACAACAGCGGAGCTCAGGAAATGGAGTTTAAAATCACATTGAAAATACACTGCAGCCAAATTAAACCGCTTAGAAACATCGACATACAACTTAGTCTGAGCAGGAGAGATGTGCAAAAGGTTTTTCAAAACTATCAGGCACTATTATGATACAATAACTCTTAATTTACTTTTATAAATATGGGGCTTTAACTCTCTTGTGCAGACTGCTCAGTTAAATGGCTTTACAGATAGAAGAGGAGATCAGATACTGGTCATGTATGCAAAACTAAAAAGTGAATCTGGGAGTCTTTTTAAAGGACAAATAAAAGTAGATATGCAAACCAATGCTGCCTGGTATCGCATGCATTGTCAGAGCATTGTCAATATATGAAGAAACAGTGTTTCTTAAAGTTAAATATGCATTAAAGAATGGAGTTGATATACAATGATACACTCAGATTAATTTATTGTGGTGAATTTCTACTATCACATGACTAGATAAAGTTGTTTAGCTCGCCAGCAAACAGTCAACAGTCTGTTGTATCTCCTACCAATAACAGTTGAACCAGATGTGTGGAAATAAGTACAGGACAGAAATAAAGTAAGAAATATATGTTTCTTGACTAAATGTAAGGTTAAGTGCCGTTTTAAGAGTGTGAAGTATATTTTTAGGATTATCGTGATAATGTCGTGTCGCAGTTCTCAGACATTTCCATATTGTCCCATGCCTAATATGCATAGGGAAAGTGTGCACACTGGCAGCAAAACTCTACAACAGGAATGTGTTTATCAGTTTTAGGAAGAAGAGCATCAAAAATGTTCAGTTGCAGCAGTGAGGGACCTTTTTTTAAAAATATCCTGTTTGTAACTGTTTCATCACAAAATGAAAATCATTACAGAGGAAATATATTCAAATATATATAATTGATATTTTTTGACCACAGTAACCAGTGTACAGATTTGTGGATGTGAAGATTGAAGACAACCTTGTTGATTATTTTTTCAGTTAAACTTTTAATATACAAAATGTCATGAAATAGTTGGATAAAGAAAATGTCAGAATTATTTTGTCCAGCCAACTCCAAACCCCAAAGATATTCAGTTTACCGTTATATTATTTACTATTTTATATATATACAAATCTCACAAT